AGAAAGCTTCTGAGCATGCGCAGAAGAGCGCATGCACAAGTGGCCCCATTGCGAACCGGTAGTAAAGGTAAGTAGAATCCACCCCTGCCATGGTCATGTGATCAACATTCAGGCACTTGGCAATTGAATGTCAGGGTTCCAAGTAACACCCCCAACAAAATCACACTCCAAGGCTTGAAGTTCCTCAAAGCTAACTTTTATTAGAGATGTCATATTGGCACATCTGGGCAAACCCGAATCTGAGAGCTTCCAGGTTTTCCACATCCAAAAGAAAGTTCAAGACCTTACCCCTCACCCACAAGTCCACCACACGTCCAATCAGATACCCTCCAAAACAGAAGATACCTCCTCATTCTTCTCAACACAACTGCAGGGCACAATGGCCTTGACTTCTTATAAAGAATTTTATTTTGACTACATATCCTCTTCACTCTATACAATCCCCCCTCCCATTTTCCTACAGTAGAATTTGTGGCAGGCCTGAAGCCTGAAGGCCAAAGGTAGAAAAATGGCTTCCAGGTCTGACACTGAATTTATGACAGTTGCAGCATCCCAGGGTCATGTGATCACCATTTGTGACCACCTGAGCCAATTTCTGACAAGCAAATTCAATGGGGGGATGCCAGATTTGCTTGGTGACCTCATGATTCACTTAACAACTGCAATGATTCAGTTAACAACTGTGGTAAAAAAAAAGTCATATCATCAATGTAACTCTCTTAACAACCACTTGGCCTGGCAATGGAAATTTTCATGCTATTTGCGGTTGTAAGAACTAACTGTAAATAGAACAGATTCTATATTCAGAACTTTCTAAGAAGCTACATGCTATGTTTGCAAGATTTATTAGCCTTCAAAATTGTATCCTAGCATCTGCTTTTTCACCATGGCAGTATTTTCAAGGAAAATAATTTATGCGGGCAAAGCAGGAGAAACTTTTCATCTTTAAAGCAGATCCGTTTGCAACAAAACACAACCTGAGGGGGAAAAAAAACTTGAACATAAGTGATAAATTACTTAGCGCCTTTTCGTTTGTACTCTAATACTTAGAGTAAATTATAATTGATAGGTTTACTAAGTGCCCTTTTGATCTAGGAGAAATGCCAGGTTATCAAAGGGGAACAGATATCTTAAGGACATGTGAAACTGCTAGAGCAGTTTTATTACTCAACAGCACAACGAATCTCGCAACAGAACAAGGAAGTCAAATAAACAAACTGTATTATAATGTTTTAAAATATAGAGATCTAATCACATGTTTTTATCTTCAACAGTTGCAAAGTAACTGCCTTTGTAATTGCCTTCTAAACTGTGCCTCCCATATAAGTAGTCTTGAAACCTTCATCTGGGCTTTTGCCCTCAGTGATTCAATCAATAAATAGACAAAAACAATCATTTGGATCTTATCAGGTTTTTTTTGGTAAGTACGTTAGGTGTTGTCTTCTACCCTAGATTCCCCAAGAATTCTTCAGAGAAATATATAATTTTTTATAATTTTATTTGTGGTTTTCCCAAATGTAATCTCCCTCTCTCCCTCTCCCCATCTCTTTCTCTCTCTCCCTCGCTTGCTCCCTCCCTCCCTCCCTCCCTCCCTCCAATTAATGAACACTTTTGTGACATGAACTTGTACTAAAGACTCCTCATATACAACTGCCATCTATATATGACATGATTATACACATTAACAGACAATAGCAATAAACTACATTTTTGTTTTCTGAAGCTACATCAATCAGAAAAAATATAGCTGGAATTAGAAGGTGAACATTTTCAAGTAGTTAAGTCACTCTTCTAGTACTGTCTCTAAAACCAATTGAATTAAACACTTTTCTAATTACTACATAATAGAAACCGATCTTAGTATTGAGCAATGTCTTATGAGTCTAAATTACATGGCATCAAATATTTTATTTGATTCTTGGTTTCCTTCTCTTGATTTCCTCTCTTACTGTTTAATTTGCTTAAACAGCTAAGAGTGTGTGTTGGCAATGTCGCATCGGAAGGTATCTTGTGATGTCATTTACATAATTGGATCACTGCAACCAAGAAAATTAAAGTACTGAGTGGGTAAATGAAGCGTATGAAGCTAAAGAAAAAGATAACTGAGGTACAAAAGAAGGAGTGTAATAACACTGAATAACATAGAATTGTCATTCTTCACAAAGACAAATGCAAGGCAGGATAAGTAGTTCCTCCTGAATTTTGCTTTAATTTCATTTACAGATTAGTGGTGCAATTAAATATATTATGCTATTTATTGCCACACAGAATTATAATCCACTAAGAGATGGCTTTGTATTTAATAATTGTACTTAATAAAATTATGAACTCCTTTCAGCTTTATTTCAAAGCGCAACATAGATAATGGAAACTTGAAATATAATACTTTTGAAATATATTGGTATTTTTCACAGAAAATTGTCAGCAGAGGATTATGGGGTGTTTTATCTAGTTTTTTCGAGATGCGAGTAAGTCAAAGTAAAATTCACAATATTATCTTTATGCAATGAGAATGTGACAAATACCTCCTAGAACAGCCTAGAGAATGTTGAAAGCTTTGTGAAAATAAATATTTTCATTTCAACCCAATCCAAACCTGTACACACAAACTCACACACATCAACCCCATTATCTCCATCACGTCAAAGCTTTGCAAGTGAGGAGTTGCTTTCCAATCTGCCGCTGTTGTTTCTGCCCATTTAGGCAGTAATCCTGAACATCCTCCTTCCAGAGTAAATAAAATGAATTCTATGGATCTGATTTTATGAACTGCATTGTGACTCTTGTTTAATTAAAACTGTCAAATTTTTACAACCCGCACCCACCTTCTCAGAGGCACCATAGACGATGCCTCTCCTATTATAAGGCTTTCAGCGATTTGAATGCATCCTGATTTCTACATAAAATACACACACGGACAAGGACTTCCTGTCCTTGTCATTTTTTTCATCTTGTCACCGGTGTTTTGTCTGAATAGGAGGAAAGCATGGCAATTACATGCCAATTACCATGCTGGAGAGAACAGTTATCACCTAACACAAGTTTCCTGTGAGAATAATATCAGGATAATGGTTTCTTATGTAAAACTGAGCTAGGATGGTACCATGTCACAAAAGTTTCTCAAGCTCTAAAAGTACTTGCTTTTTTAATAAATCAACTGATATAAAAACTCTGTTTAGCATTATATTCGGAAGCTGCAGGCAGTCTTGGGTTTCTTGCTCCCATGCAAACATCTGGAGAATTCTGGTCAGCTGAAATTAGGATGAGTTTAATTGGCATGCAATTTTTTTTTTTCTGTAAGGGAAAAAAAAACTAAACTTTTTATATATGAATTCCTACTTCAGATGTACTGGTAATTAAAGACATAGTCATGTCTGCAATTTTGTTAGTCATCTAGAGCAGCAGTCACCAACTGGTGGTCCGTGGACCACTGGTGGTCTGTGAGAAAATTTTGGTGGTCCACAGAAAAATTATTTGCATTTTTATATTGCACTAAATCAGGGATCTTCAAACTACGCCTCTGGGCCAGATACATGCAATGAACGTTTGTGTTGCTGCAGAGAGTCTCCCCCTTCGGGGTCTTTTTGTGTGGGTTGGAGGGGGCAGAAATTCCGACTTGGGGTCTGTTTCAGCCTCCTGGTGCAGGGCTTTGGGCAAAGTCTGGAGGGAAACGCCGCTGGTAGCAAAGAGCCGGAGGACCTTGTTCCAGTGGGACTACATCATGGCCTGGAACTTGCTGACCATCTCAGCCCACTGAGCCTCCAGGCGCCAGTACCTGCCCTTGTACTCCCTCAGCTCTTCCCTCTGCTTGGAAAGCCTATGCTCATAGTCCTCAGTGAGGTGCTTCTGCTGAGCCTCCTTCTCAGTCAGATCCAATTTGAACTGAGCTGTTTTGCCAACTCTTTCTCATGGTGGCTGCTTAGCTCCAACAACTGCTTCCTGTGGGGCCCTAAGGAGTCTGGGCGGGCAGGCAAGGAGTGTCTAGGAGGGGAGGGGCAAGTAGAGGCTGGTGAGGCACCCCTTGACATGAGTGACATCGAGTTGGCTATGCCCACCCAGTCACATGCCCACCTAGCTATGACCACCCAGCTGGTCATTAGGCAGATCATATTAGTGGTCCGTGAGATTTAAAATTATGAATTTAGTGGTCCCTGAGGTCCAAAAAGTTGTGATCCCTGATCTAGAGTACTATTCATTGGTGGAAAGGCAAGATAGAAACATAGATTGTCAACTTTCTTAGAGCAGCATGAGCCGTGGCAGTGCAGTGGTTAGAGTGCAGTACTGCAGGCTACTTCTGCTGACTGCCGGCTGCCTGCAATTTGGCAGTTTGAATTTCACCAGGCTCAAGGTTGACTCAGCCTTCTGTCCTTCTGTGGTCAGTAAAATGAGGACCCAGATTTGTTGGGGGCAATATGCTGACTCTATAAACTGCTTAGAGAGGGTTGTAAAGCACTGTGAAGTGTTATATAAGTCTAAGTGCTATTGCTTGCTATTGCTAACATTCAAGGAAAATAGTTGATCTGATTATGGGTCATTCAGATAACACTGATTAGTCACTAACCATTGACCAGGATGACAGGAGTTGGATTTCAACCACTTAAATTATATAATTCCTGGTTTTGATGGATTGATTATGCAGCATCAAGTAACTGTCATCTCTTAGCAACCACACAAATACATTCAGCTCTCTGATGGGAGCTAATTATATCAGTTCTTGCCACTAAATCACTGGATACCAAGAGCCTTAATCATTATATAGGAATGACTCATAATCGTTCTAGATAGATCAGTCCCTTTAGAGTTCAGAGTTCTCAGCAATGAAGGAATTGTTTAAGCTCAAGGAGTACCATTCAAGAAGCTCCAGAAAATAATTAGCTCTTTGCTGTATTCCATAGCCTTTATAAAAAAACCCATAAATTTCAATTTGTTTTGAAAAAACTATGCAACAAACAACTCAATCTATATGGATTGTTCTGGTTATAGATAAGCAGACAACTGACCTGCAGTAAAAAGTTCTTCCAGGGCCGTCAATGCATTTCCCTCCATTGAAGCAGAGGGATGAGTTCAGCAGCAGTTCAGTGCAAATGTCAATATCCACCTCACAAAATTCACCTCTGTATCCACTCAAGCAAATGCACTCGAATGCATTGACCAAATCTTGACAAGAGCCACCATTAAGGCAAGGGGATGATTCACATTCCTGATGAGATAAATGATAATAAATTGATCTCAGAGCTTTGAAGCATTATACAGCTTTGTGGAAACAGATCTCTATTCTATCTGGCACCAAGAATTCTACTCTTCATCAGGAAATCGTTTTGTATTTATGTCTTTGAATTAAGCCACTGTTCTCATGTCAATAAGTGTAGGCTTGAGTATATGTTGGCTATAGATTTTTATAGTAATACGTGACAAGAATGAAAGATTAATCCCTAGAAATCTAACCCACTTCCATTTCTAACGATAAAAGAAGGGGAAGTAACCTTCACATTGATGACAGGATGAACAAATTTGCCAAGCCTGATTTATATAGTTTTATTTATTTAGAGGGATGCGGTGGCTCAGTGGCTAAGATGCTGAGCTTATTGATCGAAAGGTCAGCAGTTCAGCAGTTCGAATCCCTAGTGCCGCGTAACAGGGTGAGCTCTGTTACTTGTCCCAGCTTCTGCCAACCTAGCATTTCGAAAGCGCATGAAAAATGCAAGTAGAAAAATAGGGACCACCTTTGGTGGGAAGGTAACAGTATTCTGTGTGCCTTTGGTGTTTAGTCATGCCAGCCACATGACCATGAAGACGTCTTCAGACAACACTGGCTCTTTGGCTTTGAAACAGAGATGAGCACTGCTCCCTAGAGTTGGGAACGACTAGCATATATGTGTGAGGGGAACCTTTACCTTTACTTATTTATTTAAGCTTTTCGAAGATTGTAGAAAGTTACAAATATAAAGCAAGGAAAAAAAACACATCTGTAGAAAGATTTTTAAGTAATGTTTTTCCTTTGCCTTTGTTTCCCACCCACTAACTTAAATATTTGCACTTTTATTCTGAACACCAGGAGTTATTGCTAATATCTGTAAATCATTTTGTCTGTTTTTAAATTGGTCTCATGATTCTTTCCCCATAAACTATATTCCAAAGATGTAAGTTTCACATGCTGTGTGATATATAGTATATAAAGAAGTCATTCCTGCTTAATTTGGTTAGACTCCTGTCATGGATATATAGTATACAGCCAATTTTGCTATCACTGCATACTCTCCAGTTTTGGTCTATTCATTGCATCATTGGCAGGGTTTTTATTTTCCCACATTGGGTCAAATTTGTCTTTGTAGCTGTCGGTATGTAACTTAGCAAACTGACATTTTACATCTATATTTTCTGGAATTATACCTAATAGAAATATTTGTGTTATTAACTCACATTTTTAGAATTTTCTGAATATATTCATTATTCTTCCTGGTAGATTCGAGTTTTGTAATCCCCTAATATGAAAAAAATGTTCCTTCTCTGTTGTGGTATTTGCAATATTTATTGTTATATGTTTTGTCTATCTTGGTAATTGTTTATAGCATTACAAAACAGCTGTAAAACATTTTATACTAATTTTCCCTTAAATTGCAGATTGGAGTAAACATTATTGATTTTTTTTCCCATTACTCTCCCTATTGTTGTACTGTGATTTCTTCTTTGAAGTTCTGCATTCACTTTACTATACAATTATTCATTTTTTATTGTTTTCATCAATTGTCTTATTGTGCTCTTTGGTTGCATAATAGTTAATATTACATCAATTGCATAGCATTTTATCTTGTATTCCTTGTATTTTTTTCCCATCGTATTGGCTGGCACCCTACTATTGTTAAAAAATTATAGGAATAACTGTTGGACAATGAATTCAATTAAAGAGACACAAACAATTTCAAGAAGCGTGCATAACTTTGATTTACAAAGGAGGAGGTCCAGAGAAACTTCAATCATACAGAACAATTTCTCTGCTGAATGTTGATTGTAAGATATTCACTACAATATTAGCTGAATGTCTATGGAATTGTGTTTCTGAAATAATACATGCAGATCAAACAAGTTACATTCCCAAAAGGAAGGTAAAACACAACATCAGAGGTGGGGGGATACATATACATACACACACACACACACACACACACACACACACACACACACACACACAGTATCTGTGGCACAGCAAGGACTACAGTAAATGGAACACTCTCCACAGGTTTTCCAATTAGTTAAGATGCAGATCTTAAGGAGTGTCTACTCTCTACTTCACTATTTGTAACTACTTTAGAACAGAAACAAATATTTGGGATCAAAAGTCTAATATATTTAGTTTTGCAGATAATTTAAAAATCTGTGAAAATTCACACTAATGCCCATTTCTCTTTTATTATGCCTATTTTCCTTAATATGTACATTTTACAAGCAATTTTCAGGACTTCTGTGCATTCAGGCAGACTCCTTTCCTTTCAATAGGTTTTTTTTTTCTTTTGTGCAATCTTACCTATATACACATATTTTTTTTTTAAAGGAGTGGTGTTGTAGAATGCAACACAGAGTTAAGAACAGTGAAGACTTTGGTGCATTGTGTGGATGACATCTGCAATTGGCAATAAAAAAAAAAAAAAACCAACCCATCTATAAAGCTTTTGTTTATACTGCTTACATTGTTGCTTCTAGTGTGCAGTTTGCAAACCACCATTAAGAATGCATTCACAACACCAGTGGAAAGTTTTGTTTTTAGAAAATGATGAAAAGTATTTCTCTCCATTATGGCATTTGGGCATGTTCAGGCACAGTGAAATTTTCCTCAACATTGAATAATGCTCTGTTCGAGATAAGATTTCTTTAACAATACAGCATCTATTTCCTGTGTATTAAACTTCACTTACACTTTCTTCACTTTCGTATATCTATACCAAACTTGGGCATTTTATGGCCCGCGGATGGTCCCTGTTGGCATTAGGAGGTGAGGTATCGGTGGTAGGTGGCAGAGATTGATAGCATTGGGGGTGGAGGGTAGGGTGGTAGTAGCAGTGGTGAGATGGTGGTATCAGGGGCTGGAGGTGGTGGTGTTGGCCCCCCACAAGCTCTCAGTTTCTCACGTGGCCCCTTGGGAAAATTAATTGCCTACCCCTGATCTATAACCAACTTTATTTATTGATTTATTAATCATAGCTGCCCATCTCATAATAAGTGATTTTTGGGTGCCATATATAAATTGTATGAAACTACAAATATCTAAAAATAAAATCTCTCTCTCTCTCTCTCTCTCTCTCTCTCTCTCTCTCTTCTCTCTCTCTCTCTTCTATATATATATATATATATATATATATATATATATATATATATATATATAGTAATTATCAAAAATGAAAACATTATCCAAAATTTAAAATATTGGATACAGTACATTTTGGACCTATTTAGGTTTTATATGGAAATGTGAAGTACTTTGTAAAGTTCTGTACTTTAAGAAATGAAACTGGGCTCAGTTGGTGGCAGTTATTTATACCGCCATTAATCTTATATTAATTAGGAATAAAGTGGGAGTTGGATCCAGATTTGGATTTCTTTTGTTTGAGGATATAACTACATTACATTTACTGTTAGTTCTCATCTAATGACCATAATTGAGCCATAATGTCGATTTTAATTGACATAATTAAAATTACTGTTGTAAGTCATTGTGGTTGTAAGGTGAAGCACCCACATGACTGGAAGCAATTTTCTGGTAATTTTTGCAGCAGTTGTTAACCAAATCCATTCATTTGAATGGATGTTTATTGCTACAAAATACTGGAAAGTGGTAAAAAATAATCACAAATCACATAACTGCAGAATGCCATAATGCAGTGGTTCTCAACCTTCCTAATGCCCTGACCCTTTAATACAGTTCCTCATGTTGTGGTGACCCCCAACCAGGGGTGGGTTCTAAATTTTTTTTACTATCGGTACTATGGGCGTGGCTTATTTTGTGGGCGTGGCTTGGAGGTCATGTGACTGGGTGGGTGTGGCTAGCTGGTCATGTGACCTGGTGGCCATGGCTATGTGTATAGGGACTACTCAGAGGGCTGAAAAAAGTCATTTCTGACAGGTCCTCGGACTTTTGATTGGTCCTCACACTTATGACCATCCTCACATTTATGCCTGTGCAGCATTCTTAACAACCATGTCACTCATTTCACAACTGCTTCTCTTCAACATGGTATAAGATAGGGCAAAAAACATAAAATGTGAGGACAGTCGTAAATTCGAGGACTGGTCTCACCCTCACCCTTCGCAGAGGGTGAGGGTGAGTGAAGGTGTAGAGGGGGGCGAGAGAGGGCTTTGGCGACCCCTGTGAAATGGCCATTCGACCCCCAAAGTGGTCGCGACTCCCAGGTTGAGAACCGCTGCCATAATGGGTCGTAAAGTTGATCCATCCAACATATGACCATGGGGTTCAATGAAACCATTTATGATGGCTGGGAGTGTTTTATTGGCCATAAAACACCCATTCCATGGCCAGTCTAACTTTGTAAAACATTTGATCATTAAATGAGAATTACCTATAAATACTGTATGGTAACATTATGGGAGATGAATTACTTACAATATATTTAACAAAATGCTCTTTTTGAGCAATTTTGGCAGATCATGTCATGGGCTTAACATTTGTAGGCATGTAGGGTCAAAAATCAAATAGAATTTGAAATATCTGTCAAAACAGAGTCCAGTTGTGAAACAGGTGGGAGAATTAAGCATAATCTGTTAGTTTCAAGGCCTTTTATCTGGTTAAAATGTACAGAAAACTAGATTTGTCTTTGAAAGATGCATACAAAAAGAAGGCATCATAATATGCTTTTAAAAGAAATGAATCTTGTCCTCTGGTTCTAGGTACCTTTTCTTCCCCACCTACTGTAAGCTTTGAGTAACAGTACCTGTTAGAATTTTCCCCCCTTCTCTCTTTTGAGACATTTCAACATTGAGCTCAACAGAAATGATAGTAATAACATGTTTTTTTCACCAAAAACTTTAAAATACTTAATGATACCTCATCATGACCGTAGGGCTACCTGGAACACAAAATTATACAAGACTGAATCACAAGCTGAATAAGGTTGTGATTTGCCCCATTCTTTTGCAACAGGTTAGTGTCTGTCTGCCAAGCTTCTGAAATAATAAATCTAAGTACCTTAG